ATTATTTAAACTCTGAAGTGACTATTCTACTGGTCTAATTCAAATGATGTATTAACCAATGACTGATCAGCACCAGTACCCAAACACTCTGTAAATATTATATGGACACATGATATTGTTCAGCTTTTGCTGGAACAAGTGTAAAACCTTTTGATGCATGTCATTATTCACAGCTTTAGTATAGCTCTGAAAAAAGGTTATTTTGCACTCATAGTACAATACAAAACAAGAACAAAAACGAAAAACAGAGAACCTGACTATTTGAGTTCCACAATCACATCATGAGAAAGCAATCTAAACAATCCAAATGACATTAGGAAAGAGCTGCTTGGGGTTTCAAGACACACAAAGTAAGTATTTATGACAAGACTAGAATCGTATGAGTTTAAAATGCTCCTGTGATACTAAATGATCAAATTACTGATTAACATGTCAACCAAATTTTTCCATTATTGTGAAATGCTTAGATGCTGCCCAACCTAAAGGCCATGCAATAGTGAAGAAAGAACAACGTCTCCCTCTAGTGGAGTGACTGCTTTGACAGTTTTCTCAGACCTGGCCTATCCTAGCCGACTTAGGGCGAAGTCAGGGGACAGCCTGGACAGGTCACCAGTCCATCACAGGGCCACACTTAGAGACAGATAACCAAGTACACTCACATTCACACCTACGGACAATTTAGAATCACCAGTTAACTACAACATGTTTTTGGACCTTGTGGGAGGAAGCCGGAGAACCCGGAGAGAACCCACGCTGCACAGGGAGAACATGCAAACTCCACTCAGAAAGATCCCGGTGCCCCCACCGGGACGCGAACAGGCGACCATCTAGCTGCGAGGCAACAGTGCTAACCCACTGCGCCACCTTGCAGCCCATAAAATAAATAAATACATTTTTTTTAAATAAAAAAAGGTCTAATTTTCAGGAATAAAGGTGTCCAAGTCAACCTACTTTTTGGCATAACTGGGTAGCTAATGTACACTTTCTGACAGAATTTTATTTTTTGTTTTTTTAATTCTGGGCTTGTTTGCCTTTAATGGATAGGATAGTGAAGAGAGATGGAGAAGCGTGGGGAGAAGAATGGGTGACAGACATGCAGCAAATGAGCCGCTGGTTGGACTTCAACCGCAGCCGCTGCATCAGGGACTATAGCCCCTGTAGCCCCTGTACATGGGTTGCCGTCTTATCCAGTTGAGCAACCGGGCCGCCCGAGAAGTAACACTTTAAGGAGAAATATTAAGTAACTTAGAGAGAGGGCTGCAAGGTGGCTTGGTGGTTAGCACCGTTCCCGGTTCACATCCTGGTGAGGACACCTGGGATCTTTCTGTGTGGAGTTTGCATGTTCTCCCCGTGCAACGTGGGTTTTCCAGGTTCTCCAGCTTCCTCCCACGCAGTCCAAAAACATGTTGAAGTTAACTGGTGATTCTAAATCAGGGGTGTCCAATCCTGGTCCTCGAGGGCCACAGTCCTGCATGTTTTAGATGTTTCCCTCTTCCAACACACCTGATTCAAATGATCAAGATCGTTATCAGGCTTCTGCGGAGCTTGATGATGAGCTGATCATTTGAATCGAATGTTCGATAATTGATGGATGGATCTTAGAGAGAAACTTATGATGTTGCTAACCAAACAAGTCAGTCCTTTATTATGTTGTGTTTGTGTTGTTGGGCAGAGGTCCAAAGCAGTTCCTGTTCATAACTTCAGTCAGTGTGAAATCAGCAACACAGACCAAGACAACATACAATATTGTGTAATTGTTTAGAGGTGCATGTCTTTCTTGACAAACACTATTAATACTTTTCTGATCCATTTCTTCTTCTGATCGAATTATCGTGGAATATTTATCACTTGAACACAATGAATCCCCACTTTACATAGCCTCTTGTGTGGGGTTTGCAGGTTGTGTATATGTGAAAAGAAACAAAAAAATTGCACTCTTTTTAAAATGTTTTGACCTGACGAGACTAAGGTGAAATTTGGGTTAAAATAGCTTAATTCATTAACCTATAGGAATAGAGACTGTGTGAAAATGTTTGCCTAAAGAAAGGGAAAATAACTGTTTAAAAAAAGACTGTAATGCATGTAATGCATACAAACTATTTTCATGACCATGAATTCATAGTTTCAGTTCCTGATCTCATGATCAAGTGCAAATGGGTTATGCAGCATGACAATGACCCAAAGCACACAAGCAAGTCCACCTTTAAATGGCTCAAAAAAACAAACAAAATGAAGTTGTGGGAGAGCCCAAGTCAATGTCCAGACTTGAATCCGACTGAGATGCTGTAGCAAGACTTTAACAAGGCATTTCATGCTCGAAAACCATCCAGTGTGGAAAATTAAACCTGTTCTGCAGGGAAGACTGGGCCAAAATTCCTCCATGGTGATGTAAAAGAGAGATCACAAGCTAGAACAAATGTTACTGCCAAGGGTGGCCCAACCAGTTGTGAGGTTAAAGTAGTTTTTACACAGGACACGGCACCGGCGCCACTGCACTCTGAAACCCATTCATGTCTATTGCTTGCGCTTCGCAACAATAGCATGCCGCTGTGCTGAGCAAAACGCAAGCGCAGCAGCAAATCTGTCACTTCTGCTGCAATCTGTCATAGCTGCATTGCATTAACATTGTTATGCATGTGCCTTAAAATGCATGCAGTGTATTGTAATGGCAGTTGTAGGTTCTGTTCAAGGCTAATAGGTAATTTGATGACCTTTGATTATCCAGTTAATTTACACCAAACAGATTCATTTTTCATAGACAAACCATAAAAATACTGCACTTGCCACATTAATTCAGAGTTTAATGTAGTCGAAGTATGTTAGTATGACAGTACTGGTTTGAACAAACACCTAACACTCAAACAATTTTTTCTCTCTTTTGTTGCAGATTGTGTTGACTGCTGAGAAAACCCCTTTGGTATACGTGCTATTTTGTTGCTGGTAAGTTCACAATAAGGTGACTGAAGGTAACATGTCTGTTTTGATATTAGCACCATCTTTGACATCTCTGACTTAGGGCGAAGGCAGGGTACACGCTGGAAAGGCTGCCAGTCTATCGCAGGGTGACATATAGAGACTGTGGGAGGAGGCCAGAGCGCCCAGTGGGAACCCACACAGGGACAGGGAGAACATGCAAACGCCACACAAAAAGATCCCACACACAAGGTGTCACGACCGTGCTGCCCTGAGCATAAACCATGTTCAGCTGATAACAAAATGTAACATGCAAAGTGTTGGGAAAAAAAACAGTATCTTTGATGAAATTGATTATCTATTTTCCTTACTTGCTTTAAATTACGATTCTTCCCCACTTCAGGGAGTCTGTAAGCAACTTAGTAAATGTCTATCTGGCTGACACTTGTTGTGCATCTGTGCAGCACAATCCCAGTGTTTCTGGAGAACCTAAAGCAATGATGCCTGAAAGACTCAACTGTATGACTGATTTTCACCTGTATATTACTGTCTCAGCCTTTCTAATTGCTATTATGCTTACCAAGAGTGCTGGGTTGTTTCCATTAACATTTGGGCCAATCATTCAGGGTCATAATTCCGGGTTGGTAATTGCCGTTGCGAGTAGATACTGATATTTATTAGGGTACTAACAGTGTTATAAGGTGCTCGAAAAGTGACATGAAAAGTGACATCCGAAGACGGAACGTCAGTGCAGGAATCATTATGTCAACTCTACCCGGAGTAGCTCGTCAGGCGGGATTCCCCTCACGCCAAGGCGGCAGGTGGTCACCGTATGCGTACTTGAAAAGTTTTGTTGTGATCTAAATGTAAAATTAATTGCTTTATTATTATACTGAAACTCGCTCATGCACAATAACAGGCTTTTGTCATACGAGATAATTTTCTCGTAATTAAAAGATCCGTAAATAAAAGATTTTCTCCCGTAAATAAAGCTATAGTCTGTCATGTGGCTGACGCTCTGGACCAAGTGGCACGAATCGCAAGGTTATGGGTCCAATCTCCGGTCCTTTCGTATGCCTAAGTGTCTTCGGGCAAGACACTGAAAGGAAGCAGGCAAGCACCAAAGGCTTGGTCACACTTGATGTTTCAATGTGTGTGAAAGACGTTGTGAATTGCTAAGAGAACAAGTAACGTAGTAAAGAGTTATACAAGTGCTGACTCCATACATACATACATACATATACACACATATATATATCTATATATATATATATATGCAAATGCACAGGATGGTACGTACAGGATAAAGTGTTTTCATGTTTCTCAGAACTTCAGGGTGGTACGTACAGGATACAGACTAATTTAATCCATCATCTGAAAATTTAGCCGCTGATCAGCGGCTAAATTTTCAGATAATGGATTAAATTAGTTTTATACGGTGAGTCAGTAAACAATGCTAGTATGAAAACTTGAAAGTTTCAACTGCAACTTCCCCAGCTTTAAAGGAACATACCCTAGTTACAGCGGTGAAGGGGGAGTCTTTCCGGTAACCCTCGAGAAATTGTGCCAGTCGTGTTTTATACGGATGCGGTTCAGTTCCACTGCAGGGACCTTCGGTCTGGAGGGGTTACAAACGTAAAGAATCCGGTTTCACGTGTTCCCAAACCGGCAGGACACAACTATACAATTCAGTGTTTATTGTGTAAACACCTTTGTAACGACTTCTATAATGTTCTAAATAAAGTCAAGACTGAAGACATCTCTCCTAAATCATACAGATAACCTAAGGGGGAACTTCAGCAGTTTTATGGTTCATTAGTCATAAAAAAAAATGTGAAACTTTATCCAAACGATGCGGAAAAGCTGTAAGCTCCTAAGAAGGTTGATCAAACGTTAAAGTGTACAATTATAGGCAGCTGAACCAAACTGCAGTATTTAGATGGCAGCAGCAAATAATTAAAAACTTCAAGTACAGCAGACTGGAGGTTACCCAAACAGTCTTCCTGCAATTTGTGAAATCAAAAAATACTTTGCACATGTGATTTGGCCACAGGAGTTTCCTTGCTACTCAACAATGCAGAGGCCAGTTTACACTGTTAAAAAGGAGAAACCTTTATTTTTGTTTTTTAAAGACCATTAAAATAAATACTATACAGAATCCAATGTAGAAAACTTGATACACTGCTTCTGTCTCAAAAAGGTTAACAATTCATAAATTCATTTAAAAAATAGCACTGATACCAAACACCCCATGATGACAAGCATTTTAAAATGAGAGCTTAGAAAGAGTTTTGGTGGCATGGAGAGGGGGCATAATCTCTATATACGTAATCATATGTAATTTGGTCCCTTCATGTCAGATACCAACACCTCCCCCAACATTGTGATGGTAGGTTACAAAATGTGACCGCCACCTTGTCAAAAACTCAGTATTTTCTTTAAAAATAAAATCTAAATGAACAATAATGTCAAAGACTTGGAGATTAAAATCCCACCAGAACACCTGGGTCAGGAGGCCAAGTCTCCACAGAACTCACCGTTGTTCTCGTCTCCAAATGACTGTGGTCAGTCAGTCTTCAACTGAATGCTACTGCACAAATGACTGTACAAGTAAATAAGAAAGTACAACAGCCATAAAAGCATATAAGAAACAGCAGTATAAGGATCAAAATGGTAAGCCACTCATTCATGATGGATTTTACTATACAGGTCTTTATTGAATATGCCCTGTAAACTCTAGACCCCAAAACTGCTGTTCTTAACATGATCACGGATGTGTGTTGAAGTCAGTTTAAGTACACTGAAGGCTGTTTAAATACTAATCTGGTCAAGCGCTGCACTTTCCATTGAATTTAGAACATGGTTATGTTGAGGCCAAACTGAAATGCAGTGCAAACCACTCATCTTTAAGTTAACCAACAGTGCAGCACTTGCTGTGCAAATCACTGCCACATTTCACAAAAGCTGCAATCACTGTGTTAGCATTGTATCAGCTGAGTTAGGTAATTGATATATTGTAAAATAACAGCAGGAATCATCATCTTTGTACTTTTAAAAATGTGCTCTTGGAAATGTGGGTATGGTTTGGAAAAGAATTAGCTGCTGGGTAGATTTAGATGCTGATATGATACAAAGGACTATGGCAGACAGATGAAGCAGTTCAGTAAGGTATCCTTCCAAGATGGACAGAAAGTACTGGAAATGCTTGGATGTAAAGTCATGGTGCAATTTAGCAAAAGGAAGTTTTTAGAATTGAGATCATATAAGAAATAAGATTTTACTTCTAAAATAAGCAGTTTGAGTGGACAAAGGGCATGTGGAGTCTTCTAGATAAGATCAGCCACATTCATAGGCATCTCCTCAATGGTGGTGTTGTAGAATGTCTCAATGTCCCTCAGGGTTCGCTTGTCATCCTCAGTCACCATGTTAATGGCTACTCCCTTTCTTCCAAAACGACCACCCCGGCCAATCCTGACAAAATAAAAAAAAAAAAAGAAATGTTTTACTGCGCATTTGGCAGTTACAAGAGTATTTGGAAAATTCATTTATGTCATAGAATGGAAAATGAGATTTACAAAATTGAAGATTTACAACTTGCATGTGTTCCCAGCAGACAGAAAGTTGTAGGCATGACTATGTCAAAGTTGACGATACTGTGCAAGATAACAATGGCATTTGGGTTGGATTACTTTAATAACCTACTTTGGCTTGCGTATGTGTGTCCAATTGTGAGATTTTCTATTCCTTAATAATAGAGATAAACACTATGTAATGTCTAATGTGACCGCATAATGTAACCATGACACACAGACCCGTGCCATATCACTTTTGTCACCAATCCCTGGTAAGGAGCACGTATTACAGTTTGACAGTGGTGTCTACACAGTTCAATGTGAAAAGTTTTCAAAGACAGAAGACTTTGAAAGAATACATTTTGAGCTGCAAACCTGAAAGACACACTGTCGGGGCAGGTGAGACTGAAAACAATACAGATTCATTTACAGCACAGGCAATGTCTTAAAAGGATCTATGTTGTGCTTTTCAGCAAATTAATCATGGTATTTACTCTCAAATTCCGGGAGGGTTAAAACGACTGACTTCAGCAAGCCATTTTAATTTGTGTTGGAATTCAGTTTACACAAGACGTTTTGCCCCTAATATGCATTTACATTTTGCAATGTGTGGCTTTATACACTCTGTGTCTTTAAAAATAAATAACTAAAGGACCTTAAATAAGTTGCTCAACAGCTTAGCTTTGTGAAATAAATCACTTAGATGAATTAGTAAACCATTGATAGAAAAATAGAAATAGTAATGGCAGCCTTTATAAAAAGAAAAAATAAAGAAAATAGTACATTATGGCAATTTAACTGTTACAGTGTTAAGATGAGCATGGTTATGTATGCAGAGCAGCAAAATAGACCTCATCTTAAGTCCTCAAGTTTGCATAATTTCTGATTTTAAGGATCCATGGATACCCAAATTTCAGGTCCCCAAAAATGTTTTGAAATTCTGACTTGATCGTAATTGTTGAACAAGTAGGAAGTTGTAAGTACATTAACCAATGACATGAACATGGCAAACCAAAGATCCATCATCTGACATTGGAAAGGGAAAAGATTTATAGAAGCAAGACCTTTGAATGAATGGAAGCCGTGTTATGTCGCCTAATAAACAAAATGCAGTCACCATATTATAGAATGCCTTTGTAAAACAGTTATACAGGAGAAAACCAATCTTGTTTACTTCCTTAGCTGTGTTTTACCTGTGGATGTAGTTTTCCCTATTGGTCGGCAGGTCGTAGTTGATGACTAGGGACACCTGCTGAACATCAATACCTCTGGCCTGAGGAAGAACACAGTGACCTTTAGATGCATGCACATATGTCATTTATGCAGACATGACTGAGATTAAGTGTCAACTTTTTGTTTCAGTTCAGGGTTGTAATCCACCTTTAAAAAAAAAAAAAAAAAAAACAACAAAAAAAACCCCCAAACAACAACAACAACAACAAAAAAGCAAACAGTACAATCCAACCAAAACTTCTCAAATATCGAAACACTGGTGATCTAAATGTAATCTGGCAGTTAGTTGTAAGTCAAGGACTTAAACCCAGCTACAGTGGAGGCCAGATAAGCTTCTCTACCAAGGAACTTTCAGTCCTTCACCAACACTGCAGATGGAAGGAGAGGGAACCTTGGACTGTACACAATACTTGCATAGGTAGACATGGGTGGTTAGCACAAAAAAGAAGCCATTTTCAAATAAAGTAAACAACTTAAAATAAATAAAACTTAAAAAAGGGGGGGACTTTTCAGTCATCCACAAAGACTCAAAAGACTGTTCCTGTACATACCAGCAGGTCAGTGGTAATAAGGACCCGACTGGAGCCAGAGCGGAACTCCCTCATGATCAAGTCTCTTTCTTTCTGGTCCATGTCACCATGCTGAAAGAAAAAATTTAAGATTATATGGGGAGAACTGGGCATGACAAAATCAGTACTTAAGGCACAGTTGAGTGAAGATTCAGTTATCCAATTTGGCTCTACTGTATTTTCTGGAAATACTCTACATCAACAGTCCAAATGTCCAGCTGGATACATTTTTCACAGATGCCAAAAATGGCAAGGGAATCAGGCTCAGATGGTTTTCAAAAAACACTCTCAGTTTTGAAAATGGCAGGCTCTTACCAGAGCAGAAACAGTGAAGTCTCTGGCATGCATCTTCTCAGTAAGCCAGTCTACTTTCCTCCTTGTGTTGATGAAGATGACAGCTTGTGTGATGGTAAGCGTTTCATACAGGTCACACAATGTGTCCAGCTTCCATTCCTGAGGAACATAGGGTCAGACAGTTTGCTCAAGCAAGGTAAGACACATTACATTGCCAGTTTATTACCTTCATTAGTGTTTGCCAAGTGTATAATATTATGCATAAAAGGAAATTTGGGTTTAAATGGGCATTTTGATTGGAGCTGATGCAATTACTATGACAACTTTAATCTAGACCACTCTGTCAGATGTGACTAAGACTCACAGGTAAGGGGAGTGGGGGCACTTAGCAGAATTGTGCTTTGGGGCCAAAAGAGGTCAGGCCCAGTTCTGACTAGTACCTGACTCACTACTGTCACTGGAATCGAACTTTAACAGGATATGGTAACTTTATTTCTCCCTAAACACAAAAAGAAAAGGAAAAAAAAAAAAAAAAAAAAAAAAAANAAAAAAAAAAAAAAAAAAAAAAAAAAACTAAGAACACAACAACAAACAGCAGCTAACTATGTCAGGGGCAAAACTTTTCTAAACTGGCAAATCTATTTACATATGTGACCTAAAACATTAGCTTACCACACTATAACAGCAGCTGGGCGGAAATTTGTATGTGGAAAGCTATAAACAAGTCATAATCATCTACACACAAAACATGGTCTGTTAGTATTAGTCACTTACAACTGATTTCTAATGGCCTATATCATCCTCAAGTGGGAACAAAAATGTAAAATAGGACAATGCTGCCTTTTTCTGTAGTCTCAACAAAGCACACCATGATGGCAGCAGGTGCTTGTACTGGTATAAATCATTTTAAATTTGCAGTTTTTACAGAGCACCACATTGTTCAGTGTTTGTAGCCTAGATGTGTGCCGGAGCATTTTATGGCGTAATCTCTGGAGGTATCAAGCTTTGACCAGGCACAGACCTTTCTGCAATGTCCCGCTTTAATCAATGACGGCATTACATCACCAATTCTCTCCAGCCCTTAAATGTTTCACCTCTTTTTCCACATTGATGTAGAACTGGCGGATGCCTTCAAGGGTCAGCTCCTCCTTCTTTACAAGGATTCGAACAGGTTCACGCATAAATTTCTTTGTGACCTCCAAAACGTCAGCTGGCATGGTGGCTGACAGTAGGACAACCTTTAAAAAAATAAAAAAGTTGGTCAGACTAAACATTAGTTGTAAAGCTATCACAGCTAAGCAGATTTTATTCTGTCATACATAATGCTTTCATAACATCCATTATTTGGGTAATTACCAAAATAAAAACAAACTGCATCTCAGCTTTTACTCAACCAAAGTGAAGGGGGAGGGGAAAAAAACAAAAAACAACCCGACATTGATTGCTGAGGAATTAAATTCAGACCAAAGAACTTGTTTTCCACTCTAACCTGTGTGCTGCTTGACAGTTTCTGGAAGATCTCGTAGATCTGGTCCTTGAATCCTCGACTAAGCATCTCATCAGCTTCATCCAGTACGAACATTTTGATGTACTTAGAAGCTGCAAAAACGTTAATTTTATGTTAATCTTGATCATATACTTTGTTAAATTTACAGAGGTTGGATGTAACATAGGCAGGGTTGCAAAATGTGATATTGTGACCTCTCTATGCCCAATGTGCCAGTATCAAGGACAGCACAAAAATCCAGCTAACAGGAAGTGGTTAGGGCACAGCAAGGTTTCGTTTCAGTTATGGACCTGTGTTACATGTCAGACTCCTTTATTCATCTTGTTTCTCTGTTCTCTTGTCTGCAAACAAAAACTGTTGTATTTGACAATGTAACTCACAAATTACAATTACTCAAATGATGTCCAGTCAAGGATGGTGCAAATCTGGCTCTTGGTGCATAGCATATTACATTGGTAAAGTAGTAATGCCTTTCAGACTTGAACTCAAAAGTTTAAACCATCTTGGTGGCGCTCATTAAATGCTAGCCCTGAACCTTGTAAAAGTCTGACATTTGTTAGACATAGAGCACACTGCAGCAACAGTGTCAGTGTTACTCAAAAACATGCTGATGGCAATGTATTATTTAATCAATATTGGTTTAATTAAGCAATACCAAGGGTTTTCTTTTTCCAGATGTAGATCTTCAGAACTCGCATTATTTGAACTTGTTTTTTTGAAGAATGTGCAGTGATCGTCATCTATAATTCCAGACGAGTTCTATAATTTACCATCCAATATTGCAAAATTTGCTACACTTGTTTATATGTCCCCTATATTGCAAAACTCCACTAGGTTATGTGAAACCATAACATTCCCTTAGACAGTTTTCGGCACTTTAACACATTTATGTAGAATGTTTCACTAGTAAGGCTCAAGGACAAACATAAATTTAAGTGTAATTGGTGCTGTATTCAGAAGTAATGTATGTGTGATCATGTCTCTGGGTCCCTGTTGTTCTGAAGACTCAACCCAGCAGAACGCCAAGCAGAGCAACAACACACCAGAGGTTTACAGAGTCAGTTGACACGCATGGGTTTCATCATTATACAGCAAAAAATAACCGCAGTACAAAGCTGCCTAAATGAGAGGGAAAAATATCCTCACCACACATTTATAAATTGCATATTCTGATGCACAGCACTTAACAGTAATTTCCATGATAACTTACACAGGTTTTTTCGAGTTAACATGTCAAAGACACGGCCAGGGGTTCCCACCACAATGTGAGGGGATTCAGCCTGCAGCTTTTGGACTTCACTGCGGATGTTGGTCCCTCCAATACAGGCATAGCAACTGGCTCCCATGTAGTCGCCAAGGGCCAGAACCACCTTCTGGATCTAAATAAAAGGTGAAAGAAACTCAATGTATTATTCAATCAATAATGGTTTAATTAGGCAATGCCAAGGGTCCCCCCCCCCGAATGTAGATCTTCAGAACTCACATTATTCGAATATGTTTTTCTGCTGAATGTGCAATGATCTCCATCTTTAATTCCAGAAAAGTTCTATAATTTACCATCCAATATTGCAAAATTTGCTACACTTGTTAATATTTGCCCTATATAACAAAACTCTACTTGGTTACGTGAAACCATAACATTCCCTTAGACAGTTTTCTGCACTAACACATTTATGTAGAATGTTTTGTAAGTAAGGTTTAAGGACAAACATAAATTTAAGTGTAACTGGTGCTGTATTCAGAGGCAATGTATGTATGATCATGTCTCTGGGTCCCTGTTGTCCTGAAGACTCAACCCAGCAGAACGCCAAGCAGAGCAACAACACACCAGAGGTTTACAGAGTCAGTTGACACGCATGGGTTTCATCATTATACAGCAATAAATACCTGCAGCAAAAAGCTGCCTAAATGAGAGTGAAAAAATATCCTCACCGCACAATTATACATTGCATTTTCTGATGCACAGCATTTAACAGTAACTTCCACGATAACGTAGAGGTTTTCTGCCAGTGTTTACTGTCACAGAAAAATAAAGCATCTCCATTAAGGTAATGTTAGGTCATCCTCCCGCATTCTTCATGAGATGTTTGAAATTTGACTTAACACAGACAACGGTTACCAACACAAAAAGTGGTCTCTTCTGGGTTTTTCTACATTTCAGGCTTTACTTCGGCTACTTTAACAGCAGTCAAATTTCATTCTTGTGAAGTAAGCAATGCTAGAGTCATGACTGACAAATTCATTAAAGATATAGTAAAACAATTGACTAGTATGAGAAACTGGTAGCCAGGTTCTTGTAGAATCATTGTAGGCGTTTGTTGTATGGACATTTTTTGAGAAGTGGGCCAAATCAAGTGTGTTTAGAAACCAGCAAGATTAATTTCAAGCATAATTTTTCCGACGATTCCTATCACAGATCAATTCCATGACTACCATACAAGACCTTCGGAACAAGACACGGGGAAGGACCTAGATTATCAGTTTTAGTGGGACTGTACCTGCTGAGCCAGCTCCCTAGTTGGAGCAAGGACCAGAGCCTGAGTGCCTTTCAGCTCCACATCAATCTGCTGAAGGATGGAAATAGCAAAGGTGGCAGTCTTCCCAGTGCCAGACTGAGCCTGAGCGATCACATCATAACCTTATAAAAAAGGGGAAACAAAACAAAACAAAATAAACAAACAAAAAAAAAAAACACCACTCAAAGTTACAATCAGCACTGCTGCACAGTTATCACTGAATTTAAAACCAATTCACCAGAGGCAGCAAACACCAAAATCTACAATTCAATATTATCTAGTTATGTTCTCTCATTACTAAATTTCAAGCAGTAAACGGTTCATTCAGGATTTTTCTCTACAAGCAGGATCATTTTAAATTACATGACCTGAAATTATGTTTGATTGGAGCAGCTGAGTGCACTGCGATATGTGGTTGATGTCTTCAGTTATGCTAAATACTCTTATGTTACATTAAGTATTGATAGTAAACACTGTATCTGTAGATTACTTTATTGTTCCGCAATAAGGAAGAGCATAAGAGAGAGGGAAACCAAAAAGAGGAAAAGGTATCCTCATTTTCCAGATCTGGTTTCCTGCACGTTATGAGCCGACACTGCTCAGCGTTCAGATATTCTTCAGTGTAGACACATCGGTGGTGATAGTCCTAGTGCTGCAAGTAAGCAAACTTTTTTCACAATACTTTCACATGCCACAGACAATCAGTCTCAGGTAACTTGCTTTAACCAAAGGTGATAAAAAGTTACACTGTCGTGTCCAAAACATGACAATGCAAGCCGTGATTAATTTGCTTTGAAAACAAAAGCCTAATGTAACCAAGTTAAGGTCCCTGCAATTTCTGTTTGCTGCTCACTTTTGAATTTGAGATTGTGCAACAGGTTTTACTGCAATCTCACATAATTCATCTGCTCCTGCTGTTGTCAGTCACTGTTAGCAAAGACAGGAAACACTCCCACACCACTGAATATTCAAACTAGACTGGCAACTGAGTCCACTTGGAAAATTCAGAGTCAGGCACATCTCCACTATTTGAATTTGTAGAATTATTTTAATCCCTTCAGTCAGAGGCAGTGTCTTTAAACTGGCTTGCTAACCCACCATACGCCTGTCTGCCTTTCCAAAATCAGACTACATTTTAGAGTAACTTGACAAAACACTCACCGTTGAACGTTTTCTAAACCAACTCGACAATGGTATTCCAACATTAGCAGACTAAAATTAGAACGTGGTATGTAGCCGTACTGCCGGTGTGCTTTTACTCTGGGTAAGACTGAATGCTATACATCATTCTTGTAATTTTTGGGAAAAAATTACAACTTTGGCTGGCCCTCCTGTACAATTAAAGAATTATTGCAAAACACCAAATGTCATTTAAAAATAGTAACTGCACTGTGTGGTCCTTTTACTCACCCTTGATACAAGGGATAATGGCTCTTTGCTGAATAGCAGAAGGCTTCTCAAAACCATAGGCATAAATTCCCCTGAGCAGTGTCTCACGCAGGTTCATTTCATCAAAACTGTCCACGATCTGGTTCCAGTTGCTCTGAAAAAGGGAAGACGGTAAAAAAATAAATTCAAACATATCTTAAGTTCATGCTTTAGATTTGATGTGTTTTATAGTCATTTTACAGTTTCTTCTACAAGTTTGTTTGGGTGTTCTGATCATAGACTTTTAAAATAAATAAATAAATAAATGATGGACATAGCCATTTTGACATCAGGTATTGATTTCTGGACAACTGTTTTGAAGACTCGAATTTGGCAGAACATCGTGCTGTATTGAACAAGTCAAACCAGCATTTGCTTACACCAACTTATGGGTATATGATCAAATGTCAATAGGATAATTTCCTTTAACTTTTACAATCTGGCATTTCTGCATCAGGCAAGTTGCCCCCTGCTGGCAACTAGAAATATAGATTTTAAGCACTTATGCATTGGCTTCACTTAGGCCCAGAAGGTACATCCATTAAAAAAAATAATAAATTTTAAAAATCAATAGGCATAATAATCTCACACGTTACTTAGAACTGGTTACCTAAAATGATAGTTTGAAACCAGTTGGGAATTCTACTGTGTTCTCATGGATGTTAGCTATCATAAGCACATAGATATAGAGGGCTTACCTCAATGATCCCATCTGGCTCCATGCCCTCTGGGCCATTGTCTCTAAGAAGACAAGGCAACAAAATCATCAGTATTATTCCTTGAAAACGTGCTCCATCCATACAACAGCAGAATACAACAGTCTCTGACCAATCCTAAAGAAGTTAAAGTCAATTTAAGCAATCTTCCATCCATAGTAGGAGGGTATGGAAAAACAATTCCATTCATGATTCCTGCCACCATGTTAGGTTATAAGGAAGGTGGCTGGATGAAGTAAAACATAACTTGTAGATAAGGGGGGAAAAGCATTTTTAATTGCTTATTAACAATTTTATGCTTACATGTCACTGGCCTACGACTTTCTCATTTCTGGATTGAGAAAATTAAACGGATTTGCATTTTTTTCGTGTGCTGTAAAGCAAACGCCTTTTTAGTAGTCCGCCATTTCTCCAGCATACATTTAAGATGGTCGTTTCTCATCTCAGGACTGGAAAAAGACAAAAGCGAGTCGATGGAAAAAACGGTCGGAACTTGAAACGTCGTAGAGTCTGCTAGTGTACAAATGGCGATTTATTTTCGGGTTAATACGAACCAATTGAATGCTGAAAGACTGACGTGGCTTTGATGCTGAAAATCTTCAGGATTGAGCCTTATTTAGCTGGTTTTAGCCGCGGCCTGCTACAAGTTAGCCACAACGAACAGGCCCTGTGCGCCTTCGGATGGCCTTTCAATAAGACACACAAGTCGCAAAGTCCATGACCAATACTTTAAATAACCGTAAACTGGGCACTGATTATCAAGGCCAGTAAATACAGTCACCTATGGCAATACAATGAGTAAAATGTCTAACCGCAGTGAATGGCTTCCGCTAACGGCATTGTCTAAGCACCCGCTTAAACTACCATGACCATGTGCTCGCATGTACCATACCAAAAGCTACCAAACCACCAAAAGGTATTTGCATCGCCAACGCCGAGAAGTTTCTCATCCTGTGTGATAAATCGGAAATCCCGCGCTTCAAATTAATCGTAATTTACAATTTTACACCATTGACGACAAAGGCATCTGAAATGGAATTTAGGCCCAGCTTAGGGTCATTCACGTGCTACTCAAAGCGCCGGTAACCATTACATTTTATTCAGTTACGTTCAGGAGCAACGGCGATCGCCGCCATCCGTGCCACCTTTAATAATCCTATAGACACGTTATGAAGCGAACATAACTTTAAACCTATAATGCCAAATCTAACATCCGTATCCTTCGTAATAAAACTGCAAAGCCAGTAGACGTTAGCCTCAGGCAAGCGACGGACAGGCCTTAGCGTTCATCGGCCACAGAAACATCAGCACACATCGCTCAATATCATCATCCTGAAAAGTAGTCGATACTAAAATCTAACAATTATACGAAAACAAGTACATTAAACGCTAAAACATACACTCCCATGCAAGCCATACGTGGTTTTCTTACCTATTATCATATTCAGCCGACATTATTCCAAAGAAAGAAACTGCGGCAGAAATGTCTTATATACGTTGACAACACACAAAGAGGCTTTCTCATTGAAACACATCGCCGTCATTTAGTTGCAAGCCCGCCTATAGAGATCTGCGATTGGTCGACTTGTACGTCATGTAAAAGTAGGTGGATCGTGACGTTCATGCTAGAACGATCCTATATCGTTGTACTGTTACAGCCGGAGAGGCGGGCTTTACATTTTTAAAGAAACAGAGACAACCAAGCTTTGCAAGCGTCCTAAATTAGTTTTTACTTTTAGCTGTAACTAAGTTTCCTGTCGGGTACAGTTGATAAATCATAACGGATCGATAACGTTATTACAGTATTTTAACTGCTGCTGTCTGGACATGCAGTTTGGTCATGATCAGAATACTGTTACTGATGAATTTTTTTTTTTTTTTCCCATTTCAGTAAATTAGTTCAGTTATGTGAGTTCATAATACGGTTCTTTGATTTAGTATCAGACTATGGCCTGTTTTTAGCAGCCTCTGATCATTTAATTGAGAAAAACATCTATTGAAAAGATTCTTGCTCTTTCAGAAAAAAGTAACATTACTTAGGTCTACCCACAATGTCATGAGCATCCACATAGCCTACGTGAGTGATAGACTCTGGCATCCTCTCACAGTCAAAAAAACATGCTGAGGTCAATTGGTGAATCCAAATTGTTCGTAGGTGGGAATGTGACTGTGCTAGTTTGTTTGTTTGGTCACGTGTAGCCCTGTGATAGACTGGCAACCTCTCCAGGGTGTCCCCTACCTTCGCCCGGAGTCGGCTGGGATAGGCTCCAGCCCCACAGTGACCCTAGTAAGGATTAAGCAATGTATAGCCAATGGTTGGATAGACAATTGTAGATCTTTTTCAAGCTCTGGTCTTGGTCACTGGGGCCAACTGTGTCCGATGTGGGCTGAGAGCTACAGAGAACACGAGCGTTTGGCTGTGGTTATCTGAGTTCAAAGAGCCTTCTTCCCGTCTTCATCCAGTCCCTGTGAGGAAGAGCAGCACCCAATGTCCTCCTCATCCACTGCAGTGGGAATGACCTGAGGGATGTCTCAAACCTCATTGCAGCAGGAATGGAGGACCTGCACCACCTCCACCAGCAGCATCCAGACATAAAAATCATCTTCTCTGGTACCACACAGAAATGCAGTTGAAAGGTTGGTACCAATGCAGGGAAGACTGGAAGGCTCACAGTTTTGCAGTGTCATGGCACCATGTGTTATTGTGCCGAATGTACGGACTGCTGCACTGTTAGCTATATATGAAGTATTTTTGAAATATT